AAATAAATAAACGTTGAAAAAAAAATTAAAAAAAAAAAAAATTCCAGCCACCTTGGTCATCTTGGTCCTTGAATAAGCTTCCTTAGCTCAGGGCTTTAGATCACCCAGCTAGTTAAATCTGGTATCCTCTCTTACACTTTTGTGTACTTTCTGATGGTCTGTTTCCCACTCCAGATTGTAAACTCTCAGAACAAGGATATTTATTATCTGTTGTATCTACTAGCATATATACCCAGGACCTAGCAAAAAGCTTGGCACACAACAAGCACTGTTTGCTGAATGAGTGAATGTACATTTAAACTGGTCTTAAAAAGATGGAGTGAGAGGGAAAAAAGTGTGCCAGATCCTTAGGAGAATGAAGAGAGCTGTAGCAGGGAAATTAGGCTAAGGAAGGCCATTTGAAGCCTAATGGTGAAGGGGCCTTGAATCTAAGAATTTGCATCTGGTGGCAATGCAGGTGATTGGGAGTTTGGTGGGCCAAGGATGAGAAGATGTAAAGATAAGGAGGGCACCTGGCTGGCTCAAAGAGCCTGTGACTCTCGATCTAGGGGTTGAGTTTGAGCCCCGTGCTGGATGTAGAGATTAATAAAAAATAAACTTAAAATATAGGTGGGGGGAAACCTCTTCCTGATTTCTGCAGGCAGTTACTATGGCTCACTTTGGGCTGTCATGGCCCTTTGTATATTCGTTTGTGTCTGCAGGTTCTTCATTTTAGTGTGAACATCACATTGGTTGGGACTGGGTCTTACATGCCTAGCACCTGGCATAAGGTAAAAAATGTTATCCCAAAGTGATGTAAAAACTAAAACCATCAGTTTAATGGTTACACACAGGACAGGATTAGGCTTTAAGTGAGAGTTCAAGTTGAGACTGCACTTATTAGAACCTTACTTAATCTCTCAGGGATTTTAAAGTTGTTTTTTTTTTTTTTTTTAATTTTATTTTGAGAGAGAGAGGGAGAGAGAGCAAGAAAGGGGCGGAGAGAGGGAGAGACAATCCCAAGCAGGCTCCATGTTATCAGTAGCGAGGAGCCCCACGTGGGGTCTGTAACTCACCAAACCGAGATCAAAACCAGAGATCAAGAGTCCCACACTTAACTCACTAGGCCACTAGGGCGCCCCTCTCAGAGGTTTTCTTTAAATGATTACGTGATATAGGGGCACCTGGGTGGCTCAGTCGATTGAGCATCTGAGTCTTGATATTGGTTCAAGTCCTGATTTGGGGGTGGTGGGATCAAGCCCAGCGTCAGGCTTCATGTGGAGTCTGCTTGGGATTCTCTCTCTCCCTCTCTGCCCCTCCCCCATTTCAAAATAAATAATTTTTTAAAAGATTAAATGATGTATCGGAGTTAAGAGGCTTAGCAAAGTTCCTTGATGACAGTAAGCGCTCAATTAATACTATTTGCCAATCCATAGGTACAACCCGTCTCTCGTCTCCACGCTCTTGTGCTGCCAATTCCCTTGTTAGAGTTCAACGGGATTATCCACGGGGTGCTTCGGTCCCAAGTGGTATCTCTGTCTAGATACGACCATAAAGGCAACTAAATCAACTAAAAATGGCGACCTGTAAGACATCCAAGGGCGTCAATTATCGGCCGTGCTAGCGTATACGATACGCGGAGACTGAAAGAAACAGCAAGGGCAGGGATCGCAACGCCGGGGTAGAAGGCAACGAGTTCGCCCACGCTGCCACCCAACCACAAGCAAGAACAACCCCAACCGCGGGAGCGGAGAAACAGCCTAGGACCGCGACCACGTGTCAGAGAGCACTCTGCGCATGCGTAAGCGAGGCGCGCGCCCGCCGGCCGGAAGAGCCGCGCGTTTCCGGGTTGGAGGCGGGGAGCGGTGCCGGAAGTACTCGGGGAGGGCCGAGCAGTCGGACCGGCTGCTGAGACGAACGCTTCACTGGGGCAGTCTCCGCATATCATGGGGAGATAGACGCTGCTGCCTGTGAGTCTTGGGCCCTGGCAGTTGAGGAAGAAGAGCGGGAGGAGGGAGTCAGGACCCAGACCCACAGTGGGTCAGTGTTTGAAGAACTATGTTGTGGAGGATACCGGGTTGTGCGAGGAATCAGGCTGTTGGGACGGGACTAAGGGGCTCCGGGCTCGGAGAAGACGCGGCTGTGGGGACCGGGGCTATAGACGGGACTTAGGGAACCGGGACGAATGTGAGTTCTCCGGCACCTGAGGGAAAGCGATGTGAGGGGAACAGGATTATGAGGACCCGTACTCTTAAGAGGAGAGGGTCTGAATGGAAAGGGGCGTGAAGACACGGGCTCCTGAAAGGTAAAAGCGGAGCTATGAGGACTTGGGCTCCTAAGAGACAGAAGCGGGACAGTCAAGACCCAGGCTCCTAAGGATTCAGAAACAGATTAGCGAAGACTTAGGTTCCTGAGGGGCAGGAGCGCTCAGAGACCACTTGGGTTTGGAAGGAACGGCAGCGGGCAGTGAAGACGGGCTTCTGTGGGGACGGGATCAGGGCTTGGAGACTCCGAAGTACCTGAAGGAACAGGGCTGTGAGAACCCGAGCTCTCCAAAGCGGAGAGTATAAGGGGCCATGGCTGCAGGGAGATCAGCCTCCAAAGGAAAGGGAGAGTTTGGAAAAGATGTAGTGATCCATTTTTTCCTTCATATTCTCTGAATCCAGAGTGGTAAAGGATGTATTCAGGGGAAGACGACCCTTCCTTCGCGCTGCCTGCTTGGCTTTTGGCAGGCTTTTCTTGTGTCAGATACTTTTATCTAGGAAAGCCCACATGCAAGCATCTTCGTTTTCTGCTTCATTCTTACAAAGCTCTGATGTGAAGTTGAAGCCGTTTGAACTCAGTTATATACTTGATAAGTGCTTTAAATACCATTCCACCGAACCCTGATTGAGCACAGATCTCTGCATCTCAAATAAAAGAATGTTAGAGATAGGGGGACAGGATGGCCCAGAAAGATAATCTTTGTAAAACTCCTGTTTTATAGGTAAAGAGGCTGAGGTCCAAAGAAGGCTTAGGATCACATGAAGCAATGATTGATTCGATCATAATTTTGATATAGTACCCTGCTGTGCCTAGCAAATAGGAGATCTTGGCTAATAATATCCTTGAAAACACGCTTCTAGAATCTTTGCTTTAACGTCAAACTCAAGAAGGAAATTTTTACAAATTTAGTACTTTATTTCAAGTCTTGTGGCTGTATTGACATCAATACAGTGAATGTCACCATTTAGGGAACCTTTAAAGGAACGCTTCTCCTCCCCCTCCCCCAACCCCAATATAGTAAGCCATTTAGAAAGTTGCAGATAAATAAGTTATATCCTATATTTTAGTATCAGGATTTATTGGAGATGGCTGCTTTTAGATAAGAATGTCAGGGATACCTGGACCAGTTACTTCCCTTCAATAATATCTTTTACTGAAACCTACACAGGTTAATCAGGCACTATCGTAAGCACTTTCTTTTTTTTATATTAATTTTTTTTAACGTTTATTTATTTTTGAGACAGAGAGAGAGAGAGAGAGACAGAGCATGAACGGGGGAGGGTCAGAGAGAGGGAGACACAGAATCTGAATCAGGCTCCAGGCTCTGAGCTGTCAGCACAGAGCCCGACACGGGGCTCGAACTCACGGACTGGGAGATCATGACCTGAGCCGAAGTCGGCCGCTTAACGGACTGAGCCACCCAGGCGCCCCCATAAGCACTTTCAAGTGTTATATTATTTAATTCTCACAACTCCACAAGTTAGATATTGTCAGTCCCATTGTGCAGATAAGGAAATTGGTTCAGAGAGGTTAAGTACCTTGCCTGAAAACACATGGAAATAAGTGGCCCATCCCCAGTCAAACCTTGTATATGTTTGACTAATTTTGTCTACTTTTCTAAGTGAATTCCTTTCCATATCTCAGTTTGCCCATCAACAAAATAGAAGTAACAGTTAAACAAAACATATTGAATGAAAGCACCTCCTCCTCCTTAAGATTTCTATTAATACCAAGTACTATAACTTGCTAGGGTACTTATATAGTGTAGTATTTGAGAGCTAAATTTCTTTGTTTTTAAATAAGCATAGATATTCAAGATCTAAAAATGGGACCTGATTAGAACTTTTCCTTACAATGGAGAAAGATATATTTAATTTTAAATTTAGGAGGCCACAAAAGACCAATTTGAAGAACAAGGACTTAAATTGGATTAACTTTACAATTAATTGCAACATGAACTAGATGATTAGGGAAATTGGGCTAACTTAGTTGAAACTACTGTGTTTTTTCCCCAAAGGGTTAGCTTATACTATTTTCAAGTGCCTCTACTATATACAAGTGATCAAAACTTACCCCAAATTATGAAGTAAAGCATTCCCATGACACCATTTCAAAATACTTGGTTTAATTAATGACAATTTATTCTTGAGTTAACATTCTCATCTACATTTGCAAAAGGTACTTATTTCACTCATATGTAGCTCTAGCATTGAATTATCATAATAGTGTTTCAAAGTACCTGATCAGAAAATCATTGTGTTAGAGAAGATCTGAACATGGAACGTATTACTTTTGATCTAAGGTCTTCATGGAAAGCCCCAAAATACTTTGGAGACTATACACAACCAGTGTTTATCAGTCTGTATTGTGAAATAGGTGTGCCAGTGGCAGAAGACAAACTGAAATCTGTACATATGGACTTAATCTAAAATCTTACATTAATTGTTAGAGCTGTAAGGACTTAAGAATTCGGATCCCACTCTTAATTATAGATGTAGAAAATTTGGTCAAAGGGAGCTCCTATAACTCTGTGGCAGAAGTAGTATGATACCCAACCCTCCTGACTTGGGCCTTCCCTGTGCCATAGTACCCCTCATCAGCCTCCTTTTGACCATTTACCACGACCATTTTTTTGCAGTCACTTTTTTTTTTTGTATTGTTTTTTAAGTTTTTTTTTTCAAAGCTTATTTATTTATTTTGAGAGAAAATCCCATCCCAAGCAGGCTCTGCAGTGTCAGCACAGATCCCAATGTGGGGCAGGAACTCCCAAACCTTGAGACCATGACCCTAGCCAGAATCAAGAGTCTGATGCTTAACTGACTGATCACCCAGGCACCCCACTTTTTTTTTTTTAAATATCTGAAGTCATAAAAATGGTTATAGGATGCCACCAACACATACTACAATGGTTGAAAACCTTTAGCTTTAATGCACTGATTTTTATAACTAAGATTTAGAAGAGAGGAGCATATATATTATAATATTAGCAAACATGTTTATTTGTACTTTTCATGTGCCAGGCACTCTTCTAAGTGCTTTCTATACATAAATTCAATGTACTGTCACAACAGTCCCATGAGATATATAAAATGTGAATGCATTTTTCACATGAGGAAACTGAGGTATAAAGAGATTGGAATAACTTGCTGAAGGACGTAAAGCTGATTAATAAGTGGCAGAGTTGGTATTTGAACCCAGACATTGCCACCAGAGTCTGTCCCTTGACCACTGTACTGTATTGCCTTTCTGTTAAGCCAAGACCACCTAAACAGAATCAAACTAGTCAAAAAAACTAATGGAAAGAAATGTTCCTCTCAAGTTTTACAGAATGCAATTAATGGATTTTTTTTTTTAAGGCTGGGAAATTTGAGCTCATTTAGATACATCTAGAAGCCAGTGAGAAAAGAAACAGATAGAAAACCCAGTCATTTAAGTCCTGTACCACAGTGATAGGGCTTTTATGCCATCAGCCTGGTAGTCCCCTTTACTCCACTATTTGGTTTAAATAATTCCTAAACATTTCAGAAGTGAAAGGGTTTTATTTTTTTTATTTTTTTTTTTTTAATTTTTTTTTTTTCAA